TAGGTGCTTTATCCTCCATATGGTGCAGCCACTAGAGGGCGCCAGTGCATGTGGCTGGACATGCAGGCCCCTGGGTATGCTGGGTAATGGCGCGAGGGGGGGTCTTTCTGACCCAGGCGTGGGTCCGGGTTATGCTTTGATGGCCTCCAGTGGCTGGTTACGGGGGCTGGGATGCGCCCGGTTTCTGCCCCTGCGTTCTCCGGCGTCTGCCTCCCCATCTGCCCGGCGCAGTCTCACCGGCGTGTTCTCTCCCCAGCACTTGGAGGATGGAGAGCAAGGCCATGTACCTGCACACCTTCAGCGAGCGGGAGAACGGCTCCGTCTTCGAGGAGTCGTTTGAGGGAAGGAACCTGTCCAAGCTGAACCTCTGTGAGGACAGTAAGTTGGGGGAAAAAAGGGGGAGGGGAGGGCAGCCTCCTCGTTTGCCATGGAAAACGGGCACCGTCCCCACCCCCAGCCCGAGCCGGGGTGGGGTGGGGCAGCTGCAAGGGCTGTGCCGCGGCCGTAGGCATGGGCAGGTGGCAGAGCCCCCGCTGGGAAGGTGTTCTCTGCATCTCACGTGGGCCAAGGCCGGGACGACCCCAGCGGAGAGATGAGGCGCCTGAGCAGGGCACTTGTCCTGCCTGGGATTTCAGGCCCTGGGGATGGTCACCCCAAAACCCACCACGGCAAACAGGACACCAGTTTCCGAGGCAACTGTTGTTAGGGGCCGAGTGGTGGGGCCCAAGAGGGTGAGGGCGCGGCCGAGACCGCACCCACGAGGCCCAATGGAGGCTGGCGTCGAAGGCCCCGGAGTCCTACCCATATTGCCGCAGATGTTTCTGGCTGGATCGAACAGTAAAACTCCCAGGCTAGGCAGGGCCACCAGGGCCTCTCTGGTCCCCTGCCCTGTGGCGGTTTCTCCGCGGGCCCAACGAGCAGAGCGTTGCAGGGACCTGTCCAAGCGAGGTCGGGCTGGAAGGGACCTCCGGAGGGAGGGCCACGTACAACCAGAGCAGCCCTGGTGGGATTGTCCAACCTGCTCTAGGAAACCTCCCAGGGTGGGGACTCCATACTCTCCTTTGGAAGCTTGCTCCAGAGTTTAGCGCCCTGTAGGGGCAAAGGGGGGACCCCTTTTTGGGTCCGGGGCTGCTGACCCACAGAAAAATCAGTCGGGGGCCACACACGAGAGAGAAGCAAAAAAAACCCAAACCCCTCAGTGACGTTGCCCCCCGACTAAAGAGGAGAAAGACACTCCCCACATTTCCCTCCCCACCTTCCCCTTGGGGGGCCCAGGCTGGTAGATTTTGTGTGCTCCAGTCCTGCGGGGGAGTGGAGCACCAGCACAGGGCTCCCCAATACTGGGAGGGAGCCCCAAGCCTCAGGGGCCGGATCCAAGCAAGCCGGGCCCCACATCCGGCATTCCCCACCCCTGCCTTAGAGCTACCCAGTGTTTGCCCCAATATTGAACCTCACTCTCCCTGGCCGCCCGTGGCTGTGGAGAGCAGTGGGGTGGCGCACTCCCCATAGCAGCGGGGGCCGTATGTGAAGACTCTTTTCGGGTCCCCTCTCAATCTTCTCCTCTTCACACCCAACACACCCGGGAGTTTTAACCTTTCTCACGGGTCCGGTTTCCCAAACCTTGGATCGTCGGAGTGGCTCTTGGACTCTCTCTACCGGGTTCCCCCCCCCTTTCTTCAAGGGCCGTGTCCCGACGTGGCCA